AGTGCGGCCGAGGGCAAGGGTGGCTCCCTGCACTCGGTGCTGGTGCACTCGTAAGGCACCCAGCGAGCGGAGAGAGACGAAATGAAGACAGAGAGGAACCGCTGGTCCCCGACCGCGGGAGGGGGAGAAAGCGCCCGGCTGAGCCCCAGCCTTGGCGGGAAAGATATTGAAACAAACGAACAAACCCGAATGTGGTCTGAGTAAATGTAACACTTCTGGTGTCAGTGTTTATACTATGTTGTACAATCAGATTCATGAAAGCCAGTTTTCAGGTAAGAGTTTCTATTGTAATTAATATTATAAATCAATAAGTTATGGGGGGAGGGAAATGAAGGCGTTTGGAGAATCCTCCTTTAGCAGGTGAATTGGAAATGGATTTCGATTCTTATTTCTGCGGGAACAGAAGCTGTGGGGTCTAAACATCAAGGGGAGAAATGCAACGGAGAGTGACGCTGAGACAGACCTCAGCCGCCGAGTTGCTCTCCGCTGGTCTCCTGCAGGGCAGCTGCCGCTCTTGGCGCGTTCGAGACGAAACTGCTGTTCACGAAGGATATCTCGATCTATTTAAGAAGGAAGACAGGGGAGCGTTTGGTGCCGTTATTTTCCTGGTCAGGGAAATGGGCCAGGAAACGGTATGATGAATAAAGCCGCTTTAGGGGGCAGTGGGAACACCATGGAGGATCTTGGGAAACAGCTACGTTTCTTGGCTCTGACCCGGGGGTCGAGAAGGGTAGGAGGAACAGCGAAAGCAATTAGTTTGCACAAAAGAGAATAGCAGCGGCTTACAGAGCAAAGCCCAGGATTCCAAAAGTAAAGTTCGAGAAACACAACCAAAGAGACAATAAACGGCGACTTTCTACCTGCAACTCGTTTGTGTATCAATCGGATGAAATCATTAAGGAGCCCCCAAATAATGTGAATTCTCACGATCTGTTCCATTGGGATTTTAAAGAGAAAAAAAAATTACTTGCATCGCGACGAGATTTTGTCCCCTAACTCACCAGTGCAAGAAAAACCTGCCTCATCACCCAGCAGTTTTGCTCTTCGGGCTTACGGGAGCGTTTCCTGGCGCTCACGACCCGGTCACCTTTGCACGCTGCTGTCCTTGTGCGTGGGAAAGAAACTTGGCTCGCCGCTGCTGCTCCTTCCCTCGTTTTGAGCCCCAGTAAAATAGCACTTTACTTGCAACAAACTTTTGGGAACGAAGGGGGGCGGGTAGGGAGGAGGCAGCAGCTCTTTGCCTCTCAGTCACCTCTGGTTTGTGTCCGCGCCGCGTTCGGGTTGTGACTTTGTGACAAGTTCATGTCTGCCTGTGTTGTACGCGGTGTTCTCCATTAAAGCTTCTCTCTGATTGTGCCCGTGCCGGTGTGACGGTGTTTCGCTTCTCCAGAAACAGGCCGCGGTTGGAGTGCCTCCAGCGCAGACAGAGGAACTTGGCAAACCCTCTCCTCCCCCGTTAATTCTTAACATCGGAGCTGCAGAGGGGTGAGTTCACAGGCCGGCCACCAGCAGGGACACCCTTGCTCCACTACTCCTTTTATCAGTGGCGCATTTATCTCCTCCGCTACCCGTTCTCGCTTACCATGCTGGTTTCCCAACTAGGCTCAAGTCCTCCTCGGGGCCAGAACTGAGTTAACCCCCCCCCCCACACACACACACACACACACACACACGATAACAGTGATTTTGTTGTTGTTCCTACACGAGGTTCACATCAATACACCATCACCACCACCCAAAACCCTTTTCCCTTTTTGAGGTCCTTGAGGGCAAGCTCATTTGGTGGGTACCCAGCGGCGCCCCCTTAAATCTGCGGGACTGTCCGGGGACCGGGAGGTCGGCGCCGGGACGCTGCCCCTGCCGTGGCGGCCGACTTTTAACGAGGGTCCTGGTCCCGCCAC